TAAGAGGTGCAGCTGGAGCATCTCTCTGATGAGGAGAGACTGGGAACTGGGCCTGGTTAGTCTGGAAAATACTGAGAGGAGATGTCATTAATGCATATAAATATCTCCACGGAGTGTCAGAGGATGGTGCCAGACTGTTCAGTGGTGCCCAGCAACAGGACAAGGAGCCATACATTAAAATATAAGAAGTTTCACGTCAGTATGAGGAAGAACTTCTTCCCATGGAGGGTGGCAGAGCACTGTGAACCAAGGAGGACAGACAATCTCCACCTCTGGAGACATCCCAAACCCACCTGTTCCTTTGTCACCTGCTTTGGGTGACCCTGCCTTAGCAGACTGGATAATCTCCAGAGGTCTTTTCCAACCCTAACAATTCTGTGGTTCTGTGACACACTGTGTCCCCCAGACCTCACTCCATTTTGTCCCACAGAATGTCCTGGCTGGAGCACTCTTCGGGCCATGGATGGGGCTGGTGCTGTGCTCGGTGCTCACGTCTGTGGGAGCCACCCTCTGCTACCTGCTCTCTGCAGCTTTTGGCAAGCAGCTCATTGTCCACTTCTTCCCTGAGAAAGTGGCTCTGCTGCAAGGGAAGGTAAGAACTGGCAGGTGCTGACACCCACGATGGCTCTGGGCCAGGCTGCTCTTGGGATGACAGTGAAAATGAGTGTGTGCAGGGGATGCAGCAGGGCTGCTGAGGGCACAGTCTAGGAGCAGGCTGCTCTCTTGGAGCAAACCTGTTGGCAAAGGGGCTGCCAGGAGAATCCTGGATCCTAAGGAAAAGCAGATGTGAAATAAAGGAGTGTTTGGGAAGCCCCTGTGCTCCAGAACTGCCTCCATCCATCCCCTGCTGTGTTGTACACTGGAGGTGGTTCTGCTCTTGACTTCCTGATCTTTTGTTCAGGTGAGATCCCATTTCCACCCCTTCTTTGAAAAGGGCTGGCTCACCATTAGGCTCCCATACATACATAATATTGTTGCTTTCCCTCAATTCTGAACTGATGTTACACTGTCACGTGTTAGAAGAAAAAATCACTCCAGTATCGTGGCCATTTGAATGTTACTGCTGTTTGAGGAGCAGGAATGATGTGGAACTTTTCTTTTGGCAGGTAGAAGAGAACAGGAGCTCCTTATTTTTCTTCTTGTTGTTCCTGAGGCTGTTCCCCATGACACCAAACTGGTTTCTGAACCTCTCGGCTCCCATTCTAAACATCCCCATCACCCAATTCTTTCTCTCCGTCCTCATTGGTAAGGCCTGGGGACACAGCCTGAGGGGATAGTGTGACACTGCTGCTCTTAGTATCACTGAGCCAGGAAGGGCAGAGCTGGGACTCTGACCCTTGGTCTGTTTCCTCTGTGCTGCCCTCAAGCATTCTGTAAACAGGTGTCCCCAGTGCTGCAAATTTTGCATTACACCTGGTTCCTTCTGTTACAAGCACAGACCCCTGTGTCTGTGTAATGGCTGTAAGTTAAAACACCGAGCTCCACCTTAGCATGAAGAAGAATTGTCCATGGAGGGTGGCAGAGCACTGCAGCAGCTGCCCAGGGAGGGCATGGAGTCTCCTCTGGAAACATTCCAAATTCCCCTGAACACTTTCCTTTGTCACCTGCTCTGGGTAGCCCTGCCTTAGCAAGAGGGGTTGGACTGGATGATCTCCAGAGGTCCTTCCAACCCTAATAGTTCTGTGATTTCTGTGTCTGGCCTTGGGCATATTTGAGCTAATTTTCCCTAGGGGGGTACTAACAGCTTTTTTCTGCTCTGATTCCTTCAGGCCTTACACCATATAATTTCATCTGTGTGCAGACAGGGGCCATTCTGTCCCAAATCACCTCTCTGGATGCCATCTTCTCCTGGGACACACTGCTCAAGCTGCTGGCCATGGCTGTGGCAGCGCTGATTCCAGGGACCCTCATCAAGAGATACAGCAAGAAACATCTGAAGCTGGATGGGGACAAGCAAGCTCAGACACTCAATGGCAGAAAGAGCTTGTGATGGCTTAGGTGCCCCAGTTTTGGGGTGAAAGCTGCAGGACTCTGTTCCCAGGGGTTATATTCTGCATGCTGTGTGCCACCAAGGACAGTGACAATTTTTAATCATTCTTCTCATCTCAGAGAAGAGTCCGTTCTTATTTTTAATGAATGTTTATCTGTGCATGTACCTGCACGGAGAAAGAGATACAGGGGCTTTGTGAACACTCAGTTAATTTGCCTGTTTCATTTAAATCAGCCTTCTGTGTGCCTGAGGCTGTGGGGAATAAAAGGAGTATTGGCATCCTGTGAGGAAGGCAAACCAGCAGCCAGCTGTGGATCACTGGCCAAGCACAACCCTGAGGGCAGTAGGCAGGCCCTGCTCCCTCCAACTCCAGACAGATTTAGCATTTTTGGCCTAAAACAATGAGCCATGTGCTCCAGTGCAGCTGTACAATCACCAAGTTGAGAAAATAATGGTGTTTCAGGGTGCAGCTGTAGAAGATTCTTCTTTGATTCCCATGTTAAACCAGCACACCCTGCAGCAAAATGCTCAGGATTTGAGCTGCCTGAATCAGTCACGTCAGAACACTTGAGATTGCTTCTCTAGTCTGCCAGTGGCTGCTACTCCACATAAAGACTAAAGGGGAAAAGAATGGGAATGGATGTGCCTGACTGGCAGAGATTTGTCCTTGAAAAGCACCTTGACACAAAGACATTTATTCCTGTATAACTAGGAGAATTCCAAATAAAGAGGTGGGCTCTGTCCCAATTGTGAAGAACATAGGATCCCAGAATGGTTTGGGTTGGAAGGGATCCTAAAGCCTATCCTGTTTCACCTCCTGTCAAGGGCAAGGACACTTCCACTATCCCAGGTTGCTCCATCCAGCCTGGCCTTGGACACTTCCAGGGATCCAGGGACAGCCACAGCTGCTCTTGGCACCCTGTGCCAGGGCCTGACCACCCTCCTCTGCCTGGGGTGATACTCTAGTCTTGGGGTTTTGGTATTTGTTGTCCATGAGGAGATCCACATAGAGGAGAAAGTAATTTTCCTGGTATGGAAGGGGGCATATGGGAGACCCCAGAGCAAGGCTTCATGACACCATCCCAAAGTCCATGAGAACCCGTTCCCAGATCACCAGACCAGCCTGCAGCATTGAAGTACACTGGCTTTTTATTCCATGCATTGTTTGCTTTGATAGTCATTCTTGTTTCCATCACTGTACACTGGTCAATACAAAAAAAAAAATCAAGTTTGTCTCAGGAATCCACAGAGCAGGGAAAAGGGGATGAACACTACTGGACAGGGCCAAGATGAAATGGGTACTTAACACGACAGTGGGGAGGGCAACATTCAGCTCTGGGAGAAAATCTAGGCTAGTGTTCAGGAGCTGTCAGCAGCCACGAGAACTGGATCAGGGTACTCGGGATGCTGGAAAGGGAATCCACAGTTTACTCCGGCCCTGGAATGCGGTGTCACTACAAAGAGTAAGCAGGTTCACCAACACCTCTCAACCCCAGACCCTGCCAGGAGAGGAAGTGTGAGGAACCGTAGCAGAGGTGCCCATACAGCAATGTGGGGACTGTGTTTGTGCAATCCCAGGGAGGTGTCACCAAGGAAAATCCTACATAACCCCCCCAGAACTGACAGCCACCACCCCGGGAATGTGGGGGTGCTGAGCCAGCTCTGCCCACACACAGCGAGGCCATGGGACGTATGTGCAGGAGAGGCTGGCGTGACACCTCCGTGGGCAGGGCAAGGGGCTGCCCTAGTGGCATTCCCGGAGGGATGCAGCGTCAGGGGGCAGTGGGTGGGAGCAGCAACACTGGACTGGAACAGTGCAATGACCTAGGGGTGTGAGAATAGAGCTAAATGTGGCAGCCTGGAGAGGGCAGCTCTGTTTGCCCTGGCTGCAGAACAGGCCAGCACGTCCCCAGGCAAGGATGGGGAGGGATCAGCCCAGAAGGGTCTCAAAATCCCAAACAACAAAGTTCTGCAAGCCCAATGGAGCTTTATCCCATGGTGGAGCCTATGCAGAGACCACAGATACCCAAACCCCTCTGGAATCTGTTTATCAGGGACTGGATCACCACAGGCTGGAGGCCCTGGGGACTGTGACAGGCCTGAACTGGAGGCAGCTCTGCTTTGGGGCTGTTTATGAGACTGCCTAAGGATACCAGTGCTGCCCATGGATCTTCCAGAGCCTGCCAGGTCTGAACAGTCTCCCCAGGGGCACAGGGCTTGGCATCCTTTGCTGGGGACACCCGATGGCAGTTCTCCACCTCTCTTTACACCACAGTGTGTTGTGTGCACGCAGTTCTCCACTGCTGAATTCTCACACCTTGACCTCCAGCCTCCTCAGTAACCATCTGCACCACCAAACCCCCTCTCACACCACAACAGCAAAGCCATCTCTGGCCCTGCCGGCTCCTCCTGCTGCTGGCCGAGAGACAAAGAACTTTGGGGAGGAGAAAAGAAAGGGAAGAGAGAGGGAAGGAGCAGGAAAGAGCTTCACTCCTCACAGGATTCTGCCTCTGCTCAGAGTAGGATAAGCAGGTCACTCCCTCTCCAGGAGCCTATTTGGTCCTTCCTGGGTGATCCACTACATGGACCCACTGCCCAGGGCAACTGCCCTCCTCCCTGATGTCGTTTTGGATGCTCTGGCCAGGGAATCTTGTCATAATTATTCACTTTGTCATCAATTCAAAAGCCCTTCACTCCCTGACCACCCTTCCCACATTCTCACCGGTTCAGTGGCTGCCAACCATCAGCAACGCGAGCAAACTGCAGCTCTGTCCCCAGGGAACCTGACTGCAGCCATCCACCCCTCCCTGTTCTCTGCCCTGGAGTAACAGCATCCCTGGAAATCACGAGAGGCAGCAACTCCTGACAGCCACTGAGCCCAGCTCTGCTCCCACCCCTCTGGCGAGCAGGGAGAAGGTAACATCACACACAGAGATTACAATTGTGCTAGCGGTGAAGCCAACCTTCTGATCTACAGAAATGATAATAAATAATAAAATAACATCATAACTTAAGATTTGTCTGTAGTCCAGCTACAAAAATTTAAAAATATGGGATAATTTAACTCATACAATACTGCTCTCTGTATAAGTAAGACATTTTCCTTCACTTTGCCATGAGGCTATAAATTACCACAGTTAAGTTCAAACCAATATTTTAACATAAAATGTAAACAAACAAAGCAACAGAAGTACCTGTCCATGGTCCATTCCTGCCGTTCACCTCTGGCTGGCCATGCCAGCCAGCACACTGGGAAGGGCAGAGGGAGAGCTCTTGCAGGGGGTCATCAACTAAGGAAAGGGAAGGAACGTGCTCTATCATTTTGTTCTCTTTCAATATCGTTTTAGAAGAGTAGTGTTTGAAGGGAAGGCACTATGAGTTCTATCAGAAAACAAATTTTTCTCATCTGCCAATGCCTCGGCCTGTCATATACCAGTACTATCCTCACTTGCACCTGCAGAGTTTCAGCTTGGAGGAGAAACAGAGGCCTCAGGTACACCTGAGACACAGCCACGTCAAGATTTCCTGCACAATGCCTGCCACGAAGGGCAGGCAGCTGCTAATGCTCCCAAGAATGTACAGTAAATAAGGAGACAGAGCAGGGTTGATGCTCTTGGCCAGGCCAGTGATTCCCAGTCTTCCCCCTCAACACACAGCCCTCTGCTGGTTCTCTATGCTGCTGTAGGTGAGAGGCTGCTTCTCCCAGTCCAGTCCAGGCGTCTCCAGTGTCCTCCCCAGAAGTGCTCGGGCTCTGCGGAATGTGCTTTCCACACTTTGCAAGTCCTTGCTTGGCCAACACTGAGTTGATTGATTTCTTTGACTGACTGAAACAGACAGGAGGTAAGAGGAGGAAGAAAACTGGGAAATGGCACACTGCATCTGAGGGAGGTTTTCCCTGCTCAGCTGGAGATTGACACTCCCAGAGTGAAGCAAGGACGGTGGTAAGAAGTGCTCTGATACCAATTCTCAAGAGGACGAGGTTAGAATACATTTGCAGGATCTCACAACAAAATGCTGATTAAAAAAAGAAACTAAAAATCCTTAAAATAAAACCCATCATTACATTCCTGGGGATGTATCAACTCAGAAGACCCTGGATGTTAGCACCTCAGTACCAGTTTTCTCCAGGAACATGTCCACCTTCTGATTAAAAATGACCCAGCTGGTTATACTGAAAACACTTTGTTCACAGGTGACCCTACAGTCAGGTCTTTTTCTGCTTTTCCTCTTTTGATAAGACTGAGTGGTTTAGTTTTCTTGTTCTGTTCTCCAATCTTCAGGGCCACGAGGCCTGGTCCCCTGTGCAAGCAGCAAGAGAATCCCCTGCGTCTGTACACAAAGCTGTCCAGGCAGGACTCCCAGGATGTTTCTCCATAGTGTGCTTGCTTTCTGAACGTTTTTTTTTTTTTTTTTTGCAACGAGTCTGTGTGTCTATAAATACAATCCACTCTTTACAGTAAAAAGTGTTAAAATGTCAAAAAAATAAATATCCATGTTACAGTAACTAGATTATTCAATAAAATACATCCCTGCCATTCTTGATTGAAATGCTCAAAGAGAATTAATTTCATTTGGACATTTTCCAGAGATTCGGGTTATTGCAAATCACTCCTGGGGTGGGAAGGAGAAGCATCTTCTCTTCCTGTAAAGTGTGATGAAGGGGAATGAAGTGGAATCTCAGGGAAATCAAAATGCCAGTACCAGGAAGCTTTGGGGGAGATCTGTATTACCAAGTAGCAGAGCTGCAGGGCTTATTGGTCCTGACCGTGGCATCAGAACACTCCCCTTCAGAAGAGTCACAGTCTGATTCTCCAAACTGTGGTGGGTTCTGCAAGACAAAAGGAAAGGGGGAGACTTGAGCACCATTCCTGCACTCCACATCACCCACACATCCCAGTCTGTCACTGCAGCCAGGCAAAGGTCACCACCTGCAGAGGAGGAGAGTGGCACACATGGGAGAGGGCACAGCACGCAACTGCCCCACCAAAGGTCACTTGTCACCCCTAAGAGAGGGGATAGCACAGAAATACCCGGTCAGAGCGCTCCCAAACACGGGGTTATGAGGAGATCATGCAGCAGGCTCTGCCCTACCCCTCCCAAACACTTGAAAGGCAGAGAAAGGATGAAAGTCATCCTGGCTTTGTCAGTAAGGCTGCCAATGGATATGTCTGAGGCAGTTTATATCCACTCCATTTCATTATGCATTTTTATCCTGCTTAATGCAACTGCAAATCTGATGGCTTCCCGAGATCATACTCATCTTGACCAGCACATTATGTTCAGTTTTGTTTGTGCTACTTTCCCCCACCCACTCTTCTGCCAAGCAGGAGGAAGATTGGGTATTGCAGCAGTTGCTTTGCCATAGTACACCTACCACAACATTTTCTAGGCAGTGTTCCAAATTTCCAGCCCTTGGATTCCTTTCCATAACATGTAGTTTTTTTCCATTGAGTGGAAGGAGAAGGAGATAACCAACTCACCTCACAGCTGTGTTCATCTGCACAAAGTTTGCCCAGAGACATCTGAGTCTTGACCCTCCGCACAGCACACTCTTTGTCCGAAAGCCCATCCGACTGCGTGGAGATTTCAATGGGGATCTCTGGAGTCTGGGACAACATGTCCTCCAGCTTCTCAGCCAGCTCATCCTCCAGCTTGGCAGCCAGCTCATCCGGGCTGTTCGAGTGGTCGCTTGTGTTCCCCTCCTCTCCATCCGACACAGAGAAGTTCTCAGAGCTGAAGGTCGAGTAGGACTGGCAGCTACTGATGCAGCGGTGGGGTCTGCAAACAGGGAGAGAAGTTCAGTGTTCACCTTGGATGACAGTCACAGGGAACTTCCTGGGTGCTGTGTTCACTGCTCAACTACACCAGGCCTTGTGGAGTGCCTTCCACACCCTGGAGCTACAGAATTCTATCCCTTCTGAATGATTTAGTTCAAGAGCCGCATCTTTAAATTCATCTGTTCTTATTTGGTCCTGTCTGATAAGTCCGTATTAGCTGATCTGTCCTGGAGCATATTTTTTCTTTGACAGTGCATTTTCCTAAAGGAAGGCAAGGCTGTACTGTGGAGTTCTGTTCAATATTTTTATTGATGACATGGATGAGGGTATTGAGTCTTTCATCAGTAAATTCGCAGATGACACTAAGCTGGGAGCATGTGTCAATCTGTTGGAAGGGAGGAGGGTTCTGCAGAGAGACCTGGAACAGTTGGATGGATGGGCAGAGTCCAATGGGATGAAGTTTAATAAGTCCAAGTACATTGTGTCCTGCATTGTGGCCACAATAACCCCCTGCAATGTTACAGGTTGGGGATGGTGTGGCTGGACAGTGTCCAGGCAGAAAGGGACCTGGGGACACTGGTCAGCAGCTGACTGAACATGGGCCAGCAATGTGCCCTGGTGGCCATGAAGGCCAATGGCTCCTGGCCTGGATCAGGAATAGTGTGGCCAGTAGGGATGTCATTCTCCTCCTGTACTCAGCACTGCTGAGGCCGCCCCTCAGTTTAGGAAGACATTGAGATGCTTGAGCACATCCAGAGGAGGCAATGAGGCTGGTGAGGGGCTTGGAACACAAACCCTGTGAGGAACAGCTCGGGGAGCTGGGGTTGTTTAGCCTGGAGAAAAGGAAACTCAGGGGTGACCTCATCACTCTCTACAGCTCCCTGAAAGGTGGTTGTAGCCAGGTAGGGTTGGTCTCTTTCTCCAAGCAGCACTGACAGAACAAGAGGACACAGCCTTAAGCTGCGCCAAGGGAAATATAGGTTGGATATTAACAAAAAGTTTTTTACGGAAAGAGTGATAAAATACTAGAATTGTCTGCCTGGGGAGGTGGTGGAGTCACCATCCCTGAATGTGTTTAAAAAAAGACTGGATATGGCACTCAGTGCCACAGTTTAGTTGAAGTGTTAGGGCATGGGTTGGACTCGATGATCTTAAAGGTCTCTTCCATCCTTGTGATTCTGTGAGTTCAAGCTAACTCACCTGGCAAGACCTGCATCACGTGGCAGCCATCCCAAAAGCCAAGCAGGAATTAGGACCATTGGCTCAAGAAATAAGCTCACAGTTACTTGACCATGGAAATGGCCTTGTGCCAGGATTCAACAGCAATGGGGCAGCACATCAGTTGAGGGAGCAAGCCAGGAGACTCACAACTCGGCATCCCATGGAACAGGCAATTTGTCCTCCTAATCTTCCAAATGAGTAAATCACGGAGGAAACAACATCACACGGGAACTGTGTGAGTCACCTAACTCATCCAGCCCAGCATTCTGCCTTCAGCCCCAGGCAGGAAGGAATAATCTGGGAGAAGGATGAGAACAGGGTATGGGTGTGCAGACAGAGCCTGCTTTCTCCTGGCATCTTGTCCTGGCTTGTACCATTCAGCAGATCTGACTTCTAAGGGGAAGCTCAAAGCCAGATGACAATGCTAACAGTCACTGATGGATCCATACTCCAGAAATTCTGCACTTACAGCTCTTCATGGACTGATTTCCACAGCACACCTTGACAATGAGCTCCACATCTGAAAATGTTCTGGATGGAAAAAGTGCTGCCTTTTGTTCATTTTAAAGCCCCATTTGCTTCACTTGCTGCCCCTAACATGAATGTGAAGAACCATTCCTTGTCCATTTTCTCCACATAAATTTCAATTTCATGCACCTCTGGTGTTGCCTCTCCTTCTGCTAGAGAAACATTTCACATGGGTTTAATCTCTTCTTCTATGGAAACCATCCCTAACCACTCTTGTCACACTTCTCAGTGTCTTTCCAAACTTTACTGTGGTCTTTGAGCTGGGGCAATGAAGGGGGCATTAGGATTTAAGCTTCAGGTGTGCTGTGGATGCACACAACAGGAGACAAGATTTTATTTTCTTCTCTGCTCCTTTGAATCAAATCTTTAACCTGTTTGCCTACTGGATCACTCCTGCACTTCAAGCAGTCAATTTCATGAAGCTACAGCACCAAGTCCATGACGTTTTTCCTGAGCACAGGCCTGTAAATCCTGCTGTTCCCCAGGCTTATGTAGGAACATTCCCCTAAGTCTTATTTTACAGGCAACACCATCAAATTTGGCCTGCTGTTGCCACTTAGCTCTGCAATTTTATCTGATCAGCTACAAAGGTGCTGGGCTGGAGTCTTCCCCACTGCAACAACAATTAATAAACAACACTAGGAGTAGCCCAAAAAGGGTTTCCACATCCACTAAGTCTGATGCTGGTAAAACAGATGCAGCAGCTCATTTATAGAGGCAGAATAACATTATCAAGTGTGATCAAGTTGTGCTGCAAACAGTCTGCAGCAGGAAAAGTGGGCCAGAAAGAACACCTCAGGATGGGCTGGAACAGCAAGTGGACATGAGGGATCAGCTGAGGGTGGGTGGGACAGGCTGAATGGGATTCTGGTCTTTTGCCAGCACCTTCACCAGTTTCAGTGCTGGTGTGCAGCTGCTATGAGAATTCTGCTCAGTTCTGTCCCACCAAAGAGAGATTAGAGTGAATTCACCTTTTACCTTTGTCTACGAGGAAACTCCACTTCACTGTCAACTTCGCCCTCCTCCTCCTCTGACGACTCATCCCCGCTCTGGCAGAAAACAAGGACAAAAACGGTGTCACCTTTGGGGAAGTTCAAACATGGCTGACCCTTGGTCCTCCAGGACAAAGTCACTGCAAAACTGCAAAAATCTACAAGCTGCAAGAATCCAGACCAGAAAACAGCCTGTGTGTGAGGAACGCTGACTCAGACATTGTCCACCAGAAGGCTGTTCCGGGCAGCCTCAAGGCTGCTATTCCCAAATCTGGAGGGACTGACTGGGAAATACACTGGAGTATTTTAGCAGGTATGGAGTACAGAATGTTCCAGAGTCTCAGTGAAGCAAATCAAGTAATTAGTATCACATGGAAACCCACATCAATTATGGAGCTGATTTGGCACTCTTGGCTCTACCCTCTTCTACCACAGCCCATCAACAGAGCAGGATGGAGGATGACACAGCCTTTGCAATGAGTTTCATCAACTAGGAGGACTTGGGATTTATTTCATACTTCAGTGAGCACAGAGCCTTTTATTCTCCTTCTCCCATCCAAATCTACCCCCACACTGGTTTTTTTTATAGCCTCCTTCTATCCTATCCAACCTATCAGCCTCTCATTCAGATAAAACCTTTATCTCATACCACCCCCTTGTCTTACAAGGTCCTACTCCCGTCATGCTGGGGCCAAACCACACTCTTGGTCTGATAATTATGCTATTTTCCTTGACTTTTCCAGCTAGGCCCAGTTTTCCTGCTCTTTGAACTCAGACTGGCTTACCTCTCTCATCACCTGGGATGGAAGCAGGAGAAACAAAGAGCTGCTTCTGTACAACTGTGTCATAACCTCCTTTTTACTCTTGCAAAATCTTCACAAAATACAGGAGAACTGACTTTCAGTGTAGGGGGACAATACTCTTGCAAAATCCTCACAAAATACAAGAGAACTATGACTTTCAGTGTAGGGGGACAATTTCTGACAGGTGCAGCAAAAGGGATGTCCTCAAGACCATGGCAAATGTTGAATCTTCGTGCTGAGACACAGCAGCACCACAGATTCTCAAATAAACTCTAACGTGATATTACAGAGCTATTTAAAGAATGCATTTATCCCTTCCTTTGGAGAAAGGCTTGAAAATATTTTGAGACTGCTTCAGCATCAAAAATTCAGTGGAATAATTTGCAAGTCAAACCAATTGGCAAAACTGCACATGACAGAACCGGGTCCTACCAAAACCGTATCTTCAAAGCCCAGCGCTCTGTCCTCACCTTTTGGAGGGATCTCGCTTTGCAGGGCAGCCCTGAGGAAGCCAAGTGCTGGGGAGTGCCCAGGGCGGAGGCGGCCGTGCCCTGCTCCTCCAGCTTCTCCATGAACTGCGCCGTGTCGTAGAGGGAGGCGGGGGACTGGGGGCGGCTCCCCCCCGGCTCAGCAGACTGTGCCAGCTGTGCCTGCCCGCTGTCCTCGTCCCTGCACTGCAGGCAGGGGTCGTAGGGATCCGCCGGGCAGCACTCCCAGCGCTCGGCCGGGCTGTCCTTGCCGTCCAGGCCGCGGCGGCAGTCGGCCTCCATGGCGGTGGAGATGAGGTCGGGGCTGGAGCCGGACATGCGGCGCTGGGCGTGGTGGCTGAGGGGGCTGCGCAGCGCGGCCGCGGGCCCGAAGTAGCGCAGGTTGTTGGCGCAGGTGGCGATGTCCTGGCCGTGGGCGTGCAGCCGCGAGTGCTGCCCCTGCTGCGGCGCCCCGGGGCCGTGCGGAGGCTGCGGAGGGCCGGGCTGGGGGGCATCGTCTTGCGCCGGCTGGTTTTTCAAGATCCCTGCAAATTCATTGTAGCTGCCTTTGCTGTTCCCCCGGCGGTGCCGGGGCTTGCTGCGGTACCGGCTTTTGCCACTCAGGGTTGACATCTTGGGACTTCCTGAGACTGGGGAGCCATTGGATGCTGCTTCTGTGCTGGGTATGCCCTCTGACTTCAGCAGATCTGGCCTGGGAGACAGGCAGAAGTTGTTACATGTCAAGCAACAAACAAAGAAGTGACAGTGGCCCAAAGCCAGGATGAAGAGGCAGCTGGAGCCAAAAGCTCACTCTGCTTCCTAAAATCTATAGGCTGTCCTTGCCTTCAGCTGCATGACTCCTGCATTTTGGTCCCTGTGATTCTCTCCACTCAATGTCCTTTCTGTTCAGCCCATCCTTCTCTACATTCCCATCTTGCTGTTTTTTCCAATAGCTGTCACATGCTCTCCTTTTCCACTCTTATTTTGATGCTGTCTCCCAAAATAGCTCCCTCCCAGGACCTTGAGGTAGAGCGTGGCTCTCACTCTGTGCATGTACAATGGTGGTGATCAGGCTGCTCATCTAAAAACCATGTGGGGATATTAATTTAGAAGTGATTATTCATTGGTAATCAGGACTAACTCCTGGAAATCCCCAAAAAAATAAAGACTAAGACAACTCCTCCAGAAAAAAATAATCTCCCTATCTGAAAGTCATGCAGAAAAGAAATAACTGAAAGGACAGCATGAATTCTCAAATCCCAAATTAATTCCTCAGCAATGAATCCATCCTTCCTGAGGCCTGTCTGATTTCCACAAGCCCTTGCCCTGCTTATTCCCATCCAAGTCAAGGATGATCTTGGACAGTTAGGAATTTGAGAAAACACAAGAGATATCTCCTGTCCAAGCACAATCATCTGCTCAAAAATCACATGGACCAACAATTCATTCATTCAACCAACACATCCTGTGATTCCATGGCTCCAGAGAGCTGTCCAGGTGGTAGGGATGGCAGCATTCATCCCTTTCACCTTAATATAATTAAACAATTATGGTTCTGAGGACCAGCACAGGCTCAAGTGTGAAGCCCCTTTGTCCCACCCTGCATTTCATCAGGCTCAAAGGGAAGGAACTGCCCAGATCTGCCACTGGCTCTGGCACAGGACTGGGCTGTTACTTCTCACCGTTTGGTCTGGCTGCCTGGTTTATGGGAGACCCCTTTCCTCTTCATCAGCTTCTCCACTGTGTTGGGGTGGATTATTGGTCTGACTGGGTGGCGTTTGTAAGTCCCAGGGTATTTCTTTTCCACTGCTTGTTCCCTCCTGAAACATCAGGGAAAGATAAAAAAAGAAAACCACATCAGTTGTCTCTCTCTCCACCTCCTGCTCCCGCTGGACAGGAACTGGCTCCACAGGGAACACACTGCATGCCTGACTGCTCTGCTGGGAAAGGACACAGACACTTCTAAATTCCTTCTGCAGGCAGCAGGGACAGGGCCGGGGCACACAGTCCAGAGGCAGCACTGCCATTCCCTTTACACATGGGCCAAAGGACGCCAGCACCAAATGGGAAGGTGCCTTTCTCCAACTCAGTAACCACTGACAGTGGTCAGCAGGAATTCACTCCCAAGGGACCTCTCCCTGCTCACCAGCAATTCCCTAACCTTTGTAGTTTGTCAGGGGACACTAAATCTGCCAGTGCCACTATCCAGTTTAGAAATGAAGAGCTGTTTGTGCAGACTGCCCCATGCACGTCACCATTCCCAGACACGTACTTGATGAGCTCCTTCTCCCGCACCTCCAGCTGCAGCATGATAGCACTGAGCTCCATGTACAGGTTATTGGCTCGCTCCAGCTTCCTCTCGTAGTGTTCACGGATATCTAATGCATGTCTGAAAGGCAGAAAAGGCTTTGTTCCAGCCTCACTTCCATGGACCAAGAGAAGAGAATGAGGAAAAGTACAGGTGCTTAAGGAAAAGGCCTTTTAAAAGTCAAATTTGCCAGCTGTACTGCACTGAATCCCAGATAGAGCTAACAGTGAATGATGATTGATTAAGAGCCTGACACAGCAATAAATCATGGTATGGTTTAGAAAGTGTTTAATAGCCTTGAAAGAGTGGCAACACTTCTCCCTAGAAGAGCTGCAAATGCCTCACACCCACCCAAGGGCTCTCTGGCCAAGCCCTGATCAGCCCGTTGCTGTTTCTACATTAACAGGAAAGAACTCATGTGTCTGTATATCATTAACAGCAGGGTGTCCCCACAGCTCCAGTACAGCTGAAAGATGTGGCCACCCAAAGCTCCCTGGGGACAGGGAACACTGAACAACTACTGCATCAAATTGCCTGGCCAAGGGCCCTTGGGCTCCTCAGGTTTGACACAGAACAGCTCCTTAGAGCTTTATGTTTCTCTGCCAACTCTATTTGCAAATTTGTATCACAGGAGGAAACACTTTCCCTTCTTCAAATAAACCTTCCACTTTCATTTTTAAGTTGGTCTAATGTCCAAAATGCCTTTCAGTGGACTGTTCATACAAAGTATGTTCACTTCTTTGGAATAACTAACCAAAGAAAGTATCAGGGCAGAGAAAGCTCACAGCCAACCTCAGGATGGATTTCCCACTGAGGTGGATGTATTTGCTTCAGTGCTGTTACCACAAACACCAATTCTCAGGCAGAAATGTTCCCTGGGAAACACACAAGCCTTTGCCACCTTGTCTGGAACAAACTGCTGAGACTGCCCAAGAACAGCAACAGTTCCCAGTGCTTCTCTCCAGCTTCCCCTCAGCTGAGCAGCGCTCATGGCCTAGGCCATGGGAATTTTGGTTTCTGGATTCACAAGGAATTTGGGCTGCCCAAATTTACACCACCAGGAATACTGGGTGCTGTTCTGGGAACCTCAGTAAAGAGGAGAATAAAAAGAGTCAGAGGCTGGAACAGAAGGCCCAGCTGTGAGGACAAGCTGAGGGCTCATTTAGCTGGGAAGGGATGGCTGGATGGGAAAAGCAAACAGCAAATACAAGAGACTGTGAACAGACCTCAGCTCTTCTCTCCGACGGCGAATCAATTCTTCATCCAGCCGGTGGATACAAGTTCCTTCACTTTTAATTTTCTCAAAATGTTTCTTCACTTCTTCTCTCCATTCAGCCTAGGAAAGCAATTTACTTTTAGCTATTTACAAAGAATTGGGATCTGTAGGTGCACCAGAGAAGAACTCTTGGGCAATGTTCTTTGTGTCTGCAGAAAATTACAGCTTTGGGTTGCAAATGTATTTTTGTTAGCTGAATTATTTTGGGTAACAACACCGCAGCACATTTAGTGCCAACATTTTCAAATGGTATTTACAATTTTGTGCTCCAAACAGAGAATTTAAAACACATCTGCATTTTCTAATATTTTTTTTAACTCCTAGAGTTCTTTTTGTCCTAAGAGAATATTTTCTTTACTTTTGGCAGTGAAAATAAGTAGAAAGGCTCATGATTTTGAAAGTTTCACGATGATACCTGCCTGAATGATACTCCATTGCCCCTTGAAGCCCTGGTTCCTGCAGCAGTCTCAGCTTGGGAAAGTTTGGGTAAAAGATTTTCAAACACCCATCAGGTTGCTCCTCCCCAAGAATCAAACTGAAATCATGGATCCAGACTTTCTCTACTCAATGCACCCTCCAAAATCAGATCCTTGGAGCTAATTCCAGCACTCACAGGCTCCAGCCTTTCCCCAGTTTGGGATTTGAAGGATCCCCACCTGGGATTTGAAGTAGGTTTCCTGAGGAGTAGCCAGCACATCAGCAGAGGCGATGTCCAGGTGCATCAGTGTCTGCCGGAAGGACGGACGGTTCCGGGGCTTGCTCTGCCTGAAACGAAACAGAAACAGCCAGGGGTGAGCTGAGGGATGGGCACTGCCAGCCTCCCCTGCCCTTCTGGGGTGAG